TACTTGGGAATAAATCTTACCAGAGACACAAAAGACCTCTACAAAGAAAACTATAAAAAGCTACTTCAAGAAACCATAAAAGACCTAAATAAACAGAAGATCGCCATGAGTTAGAGTCAACTCGACAGCAACTAATACAACAGGCCACCAATAGTCTGTGTGACGTATTTTTTCATTAAACAACAACAAAAAAAAACTATGGAAAACATAAAGCCATTCTTAGCTCACATACCATATAAAAATAGTCCAAAGACCAAATCTGGCCCACTGTCAGGTTTGCTAACCCGTGACAGAATGATCTGACAGATAATATTTGCATTCAAGTGGCAATATTCAGTCCCACATTTCATGTTTCCTCTTTTTTTAAAAACAAAACAAAACACCCTTTCTATTATTATTCATTTACCAAAAGCTAATAAAACATTATTAGTTTTCTAGAGCTACAGTAGTTCCAACTACAGTGCTTGGAGTCAGCTCTAAAAAGCAGGGCCACCTGCTCTATTTCACACAAGCAACAGAAGAAAATTCTTGGCAGAAAACCCTTCTTAGTCTATACACTAAGGAGAGATATGGGGAAGATCTTGCTTGCATGCTTGCCACCCACTTATGGAGGCCGACACATATATGGTGGTATAATTTTTTCTTACCTTGCTGGAGGAACATCAATGTTTGAAGAAACAACTTTTCGTTTTTGCTCAAGAAGACAGATGGAGCGAGTGTTTTCTTTCTCATGGTCAAGGACTCGGTTTGTTTTTTTGGTGTCTGTTATTTTCACATCTTCTTCCATGGCCAAGGGGAACAAGTGCTGATGAGACTTTTTATTAGAGTCGCGTTTTAAGTCCTCTGATTGAAATGAGAAGGTCATATCCCGCTTAATGCTCCCGGCCTGTAAAAAGAAATAAAAAACTCTTACTGACTTAGCACAACTACGTACAATGGCTATGAGGAGAAATCAGACATTGTCCTTCCCTGTTCTTCTTGAAAACTGTATACTTTAAATGGGAAAAATTTAACACAAAAATAAAATATAACTAAAGTTATAAAGTTATAGAGAGTTGGTGCATCTGTCATAATGCAAAGCAACAAAGACACAAAAGAAACCATTCAGGGACTTCCAGTAAGATAGAGGAATAGGCAGACAGGGGACACAGACCCTCTTCAACAAAGAAAAGAAAAACCAATTGACAGAGATACAGAAGATAATCCTGGAGCCCTGAGCTTTGAAAGGAACTATACAGAAGTGGATTAGGCACCAA